AAAAAATGACCTCTCAGGTCAAGCAGCATATTTTACAAAACAAGACTGCGATGAATAACACAGTAAATGGGGAAATATAATAGACAAAACTATTTATTGATACGTAAAATATAGCTATTAGAACAAATAAACTTATCACTGTGAGTCTAGAGCTGAGTGTAGAGGTCTGATCCTTCGTCTTGTCGAAGAATTCTTTGGGTTCGCGGAACGACTCGTTTCGAAACTGACGCTCATTGACATCTTTTAGTGTGAGTCTACCGCGAACGGTGTGTGCGTTTGTAAGATGGTTGAGCTGCCGTTGAGCGTCTCAGTATGTACTTTTTTGACATCTTACATGTAATTGTAATAACTCTCCAAGGAAGAAGGAAGAAACGTCGAGCAAACGTACTATAGCACAAGCACAGCACCATAAGACAAGTAAAGTAAAGCATTATGGATAATATGATTGACCATGTGATCTTGGTATTCCTGTGCTATCCAACCAGGAAATTATGGGTAATTTTAGCTGCCATGTTACTTTGTAGGTATGCACGTGATTGGCTGATTATTATGGTATATTTAACAGGGCTACCTATGCCCTGTTAGCTGCAAAAATGTGTGATTGGATGGGAGATTTAGTACTCTGAGCATGCGCTTATGTTTCATTCAGTTACAAAAGGCACACGTSCTCCCACATGGTTCTTAACAAGCAAATTTATTAGTATATAAGTCAAGCAAAAAGTAGTABTATACGATGATATGCCGCAGACTCGGAGGTAGACTCATATGACCTATGATGAATTAATAAATGTCATGACGTCATGTGTGACGCAATGACACAGGGATCCCAGTTGGAGTTGTCTGATATCCGGTTAGAAAGAATATCACATGACAAGAAGGTTGCGGATTGAACTTCCGGTGTTCCAAACGCGACATGACACACAGATAGATTGGCAAAAAGGTAAAACTAAAGTCGGCCTAGCCTATGGCTARCCCGACTAACAAGGCTGTTTACTCGGCTTTCCTACTCCTCGTCTTTAATGTCCGGAAAATATTTGAGAAATCCATCTTTTGCCTCCAAAATGTACATAATTTCGCACGGTTGCATTTGGAATCTGTAGAAAGATTGCCACTTTTGATTCTGGATAGAAAGATCCTAGGGACATGCCGTTGTCGGAATACATGCATCAGGAGTTCCGGAGAACAATGCGTCCGCCATCTTGAAAAGTGAGACTCAAATCTAAGTTAATGTAAATCTAATATAATATACGTTATGATGATAGATTAGTTGACTAAGCAGCTATGAAATTTGTTCTAAGGCAAAACAGTGATTCACTTTTCAAGATGGCGGACACATTGTTCTCTGAAACTCCTGATGCGTGTATTGCCTATTTCATTATGACGTCACAGTATGTTTACATCGGAAAACGATGCTCAAAAACAGCGGAAAGTTGGATCCATTTATATTGTCGACTAAAGTAGAACTTCAGTGAATCGTGTTTTGATATATATCATGTATAAATGATTGCTCATGTACATTTTATTTGAAATGCAGTCACTCTGWTCCCTTCTGGCGACCATAATCCTTAGCGTTAAAACAATAGAATGTTTTGATGTGACGTATCAAAGTGGCTTATACTACAGAATGAGATTGAACATAAATTGTAAGCATAACTCATTTAATGTAATTAATGTTATGAAGCAATAATTTAAATTCACGGAGCACAATATTCAGATAAAGTATTTTTTTTTGTACCAATCTATATGACATATTTTACATCACATAATTTCGACAAATGTTAAGGTGGTGGACGTTTTTTAGTGAAGATGTCTCTTTCTTTGTGGTTTCCATCTATCAGGATTTTTTTCCTCGGTTTCAATACACTTTCGGCTTACGTCGTAACTTAGAAAAGGCTCCTTTACAGAGCATCAAAGCGAGGTGTTTGTTAACATTCCCGTATCATAGCATTAAAAAGTTACAAAAAATTGCTGTTTGCTTTTTTAATTCTTGCACTTGTTACGGTAAATATTAGGTAGCTTATAGCGTAATATACGGTAGCTTAGTAGTAACCGACTCGAATGGCGTGGGACCGTAATCTGACTTTTACCCTACGAGATGGCACGAGACTTGGAGACAGAGCACGGAGTAAATTTYTCTTCAACCTTTYTTTAATCTTGAATAACAGTACTGTAGCACACGGCTAGTTGGTCTCTGGACTAGCATGAGTCAAGCTCAATGCTAGGAGAGTGGTCTCTAGATCTCTACTATTACAATGATTCTCAGAACTATGCTAGATCTGTTATACAATATTAATTAACCTAAGATGTTTGTTAGCCAAAACAATCATAAACTAACGACGCGTAAAGCTTAACATCCAATCACAATGATAATAGCGAAGATGAGCTAACATACGCAAAAGCTATTGGCTGGAACTATGACGCTAAGTANAAAGATGATACTCTTGAGCATATAAAACGCACGCTAAGAATTAGTCATTTGGGTAGTGATATCGTTGAAATTGTACGACAAAATGGCTGGCGTCACGAGGTTTATCGCAAAGATTATTTTACCGATGTGACCGAGGTATTCGATGAAGAATCGATTGAAGGAAACCTGCTGCTTGATTTCTATGCACATTCAGAGTATTTCCGCTTGAATGATGATCCTGAAAAAGTGAAAATAACCCTAGACTGCATCAAAGAAATGTCGACATTTGAGGATGGAAAGTTTTTGGCAAAGAAACATGAGGATGTACTTATTATTTTTAAGTAATGTTATATATCCAGTTGCAAAAAATCATTAAATATCTTCCTTCTGCTTTGTCGAACGCAATGACGCTATTGCTTCTGTTTTTCTTGTTGTTTTCAGTGGCTTCTTTTAAATTACTTTTTTAATTATTCTGCACAACGGTTCGAAGTCTATTCCAAGGCATCACACCTTTGTTACTGACACTAATAGTCCGGCTTGGAGCAAGCTTGGAGCAACAAGTTGCTCCTCTGAGTCTCTAAGATTTTATACGTTTTTTATATGAAAGAGCGAACACAAATAATCAGGACTGCGTACAAGCGGTAAGTTTTTTACTGCCCAGAGGGTCGATGAGACTGCCAGCATTGACACTATAGCCTGATCAGGTCAATTTCMTTGCCGCAGTATTTTGACCCTGTTGCAACATTTTATAGCACATATAGTCTGCACTGCTCTGCTGGAGATTAAACAAATATCCTAAATTTCGCCTTATCTACACTTTAAAAGAAGCCTTAGCAGCCATGTCATCAAATGTGTCCATGGAACGTTTTGATCCTGAATTCAAATCTTATTCGATCCATTGGTATCYTTTTATCATYTTAYTTTTCTTTATCGATATCTTATCTTAATTAACGAATCGTATAAATTGCCATTAATTATGCACGAGACAAAGTCGGCTTGACCTTGCCATGAAGCATGAATTGTCTAAGATGTATCTATTTCCTTTGTCATATTTGTCCGGGGGGAGTACTCCCCTATATTCGCTATACGGGGACGTGCCGCCAACCAGGGTATCGTTTTCAGCAATTTTACTCTGGAACAGCCTATCGTTTTCAGCGATTATACTCTGGAACCGGGTATCAAATTTCACCGATTTTTCTCTGGAACAGGGTCAGCGTTTAATTCCGGAATTATCGATGCTGGGTAAAAATTCAYGGGGTAAAAATTCGGTCTACACGCAGGATAGTGCTGTATTTTACTGTKAAACAGRGTATTGTTTTCAGCGATTTTACTCTCRAACAGGGTATAGTTTCCAGCGATTTCACTCTGGAACAGGGTGAGAGTTTTGAGATCCAAGCGTCACAACTCCACCCAAATTTGGAGGGAGTTCCCCCCAGCATATTTGACGCTATTTTGTTCTCTGTGTACTTATCATATTCTGTCAACCATAGTGATCCGTAAAGAGTCGATGTTAATTACATGCATATCGATAAGCGGCGCATTACTGTGATACCAGTGTTTTTTCAAATGGATGTTCTTCAACGTTTACCGTGGAAAGGAACTGAAGAACATTTCATGAAATCTCACAATCTATTTCGTCAAAAATCAGGAGAAGTTACTGAGATCATCAAATCACTGCGATCCCATCTTCCATCGACGTTGAAATACATCCTTGATGAGACAAATCCCCACGATGGTATCAATATTTAAAGTATTGGTAGTGGAGATGGAGACATTGATATAGAAATACTGAATATTGTCAATGAAGAGATGCAAAAACATCGTCCAGGTCATGCAGTCAAAATGTTCAATCGAGCTGTAGAACCACAAGTGCACGCCTTGGACCACTAGTACAAGAATAAAGTAGCCACACGTCTACCAAAGGAATTAAGCAATGCATCAGTAGTGTTCKATATCGACCAGCCTAGAACATTTGAAGAGTACGTGACAAATATCAAAGAGAYTGTGGAGTTTGATATCATTCATTTTATTCACTCCATTTATCATATCACTGATGTAGAGAAAGCTCTCAAGCACTGYTATGAGAAAGGACTGGGCAATCGAGGTGCCATAGTTTTGATWGTGKGCGGMAAAGATGAYMCCTTTGAAGTTGTAAAACAACGTATGTCTGGTATTCATCTCGTACGTAAGGAGGTCGTCGAAACTGCACGGAAGAATAGCTGGCATCACGAAATTTATCCGCAGGAATATTCTCTTGATGTGACTGAAATATTCGACGAAGAATCAATGGAAGGGAACCTGCTGCTTGACTTTCTTGTTCATTTGAAAGGTTTTCGGATTAACGCTCACCCTGAGAAAGTCAAGATAACCTTAGATTGCATCAAGGACATGTCTGCTTTTAAAAATGGGAAGCTCTTGGCGAAGATGTCCGCTGACACTCATATTATTTTGAAGTAATTTGTTCCGGGAATTCAGCAAATACCTCACAAACGTTGTACTGGTCAGCCATAGGCATTTTATATATTATTGCTATTTGTGGTGTATATATGCAGCCCTCTCATCAGCTTGGGCTGCCTGTGGTGTGAGTGGAGATTTTTTTACAATTGTTTTATTTTTACGTCATACATCTTCCTTAATCTCATGTGTTATTCGAATCTATTTTAGGGATTTTAAAGTTATTTTTAAAGATATTTCCACCTTTCCTAAAACACAACAATCAAGGCCGTTTACTCGGCTTTCCTACTCCTCGTCTTCAATGTCCGGAAAATATATGAGAAATCCATCTTTTGCCTCCAAAATGTACATAATTTCGCACGGTTGCATTTGGAATCTGTAGAAAGATTGCGCGGACTTTGAAACCCCGTCAAGTCCTCATTRTCGGCCTTTAAACATTACATAACTACCGCTGAGACAATAGTTGAGGTGACAGTTTTGGCGGCCATCTTGGACGAGTAGGCAAAGTGTCGCAAAATAACAACTGTAACAAGGATAAAGTGAGAAATCGATGTAAAATAATTCTCGCTGAATTCAAATTCGGAAAGAATTATCAATAGCAAACATTACATACTTACAAAAAGGAGTCAACTGGCGAAAGTTGAAGGACGCACTTCATCTAGGGAGCGAGTAAATTTATTTTTAGTTCTCAATACATTTCTTTGTTATATAGTCTGCGTTGCATTCGACCGGTCGCACTGCAAGTTATGCGTATAGGTTTTTTTAAGACATAAGGTTTAGCATTATGACCGGTTTGTACTATTTTAAATAACAAGCACCGTTTAGGCTTGATAAGTTAGAGTTACGCACTAATATGTTATTTAATATATACCTTAATAATCAATAAAAATATATCTTGGTAGCGGATTACAAACATAAAACATGGATACACGTTGGATGGGGTTTAATTTCTTGGAATTTCAGAGGCCCTGAAACCCTTCCCCTTCTCGCTCAAAAACACACTCACGCACCCGAGTAAAGCCCCTATCATGGTACTTAACCTGGAATTCATTGCTCAAAAATGTAGAACAGAACAGGCATTGCGCGTATGGTATAATTCCTGTAATCTATTGTTGTTGCTTTGGAGCCATGGGTCTGTAGTCTTCATCGCAACAGTTTTCAGTTTCGGTTCCAGGCTCTTATCTCGGCATGTGACTGAGATCGAAACCTGAGTAACAACGGCGGAAAGTCATGTCAAATTATGACTTTTTTACTACAAAAATAATATAGTGTGACATTGTAAAAAACATAAACAAGTTTTATAAGGACAATTTTTGTTGCCAGATTCTGCTCGCTTTGGTGCAAATCCTCTCTTTCCCTGCCCTACAACAAATATAGCCATTGCATACTAATATGACTTGATAATAATGTAATAATCTATGTATTTTTTCTCGTAACAGGACTTTATTTATCTGGAGGGAGGTCAGCAAACGAAGGAATTGTGGTAATGGAGTACCAAGGCGTAAATGGAACCATTTGTAATGACGGTTGGGATCTCAAAGACGCCAACGTAGTCTGTAGGCAACTTGGCTACTCTAAAGCCATGTCAATCAAATTACCCTACACCCTTTCTAGTACTCCAGCTGGAATTGGAAAGCCAACTTTCACGAAAGTCCAGTGCAACGGCCGTGAGGCATCACTGGGAATTTGCATCCGCGTGCACCTTAGTTATGCGTACCATCGATGCACACACAGCAATGATGCACAAGTTGTTTGTTCTAAACAAGGTATGAGACAAAATGGCGGAATGTTGTAAATACATGTATTATTTTTGCTGAGGATTTATCCTTGGATTTGTTGCAGTGCTAACTCCAGCTCCTACTACAGTGCTGTCTACCCAGGCCCCACTCACTACGGAGGCATCTACTAAGGCGCCATCCACTAAGAGATTGTCCACTAAAGGACCATCCACTATGTCACCATCAACCAAGGGACCATCTACTAATAAGAAGACATCAACCAAAGGATCAGCCACAAAAGAACCACCAACAAAGAGAACAACAGAGAAAGGAACATCTTCCAAGGTCCATTCTTCGAAAAGACCGAGTACAGTGCCTGTATCTCMAGGTAAGGAGTTCGAATTCAAGATAGATCGACTGCTGCCTTTTTTTAATGCGTTGTTTATGTATCAACAGTTGACGTTTGTGAAGTTAAGCTGTTAAACGGGAATCTAAAGGTAATAAAGCTCTTAACATAGATGTAAAAATTCTTCCCAACGTTATTTAGCTGATATTATCATACATAATTATAKTGTTGACTATGAAATTTTTCATTATTTCATTTGATATAAACTTTTCTTCAATTCCTCTAAATAGTGGAATAGTACCACATTCAAGATGAAATTGGCCGAACAACTGAACAAATGCTGTAAATCAAGCGCAAGGTATGTTGAGTATTCCAAAATGTCCGTTTACCCAAGAACCTTTGCGTGATCTTGTCACACACAAAATATCGTCATCTATTTTCACAAGGATTAAACGGTTGTACATCGGACATTGACTATTTGTTTATTTTTAATTGTTCAAAATCTAACTAATATAGATAAAAAAAGGTATTTCTCTGAGCGACTCTACGGCTTTACTTGTTGTGTAGCTAGCTAATGCCCCGATCAAATGTTAAATATTGGATCAATTATAACCATTGTTAGCGAACCAATTAACAAGAATACCTCAATAGTCTTTCATTGGTCTTTATGACTTTTCAGGGGCGGATCCAGAAATTTCTKAAGGGGGGAGCACTACAGCCTTTAGCCTTTTGAAAGGGGGGGGGCACCTATATAATCTGGTGTCTTGCAAAGGGCAATTTTAAAGAATKTATCCAAAAAMATTTCCAAAGGGTGGGGCAACGGCATCCCCAGGCCCCTCCCYTAGATCCACCCCTACTTTTTATAATGGTTGTTTAATGTAAACMTTTTTTCTCAGCAAATTCGTTCCAAATGACATCTATATTGTCAAAGACTATCCAAAGAAGACTGGTGACCATCAGCTCGTATTGCACTTCATTGTTTACATGCCATTCATTAAATCAAGACACACAACAGTGCAGTGCAAAACCATCTACAACTTAACGATGCTGGCTGGGTACAGTTATCAACCTATAAGTAGTCTAAACATTCCTCCTCAAGCTCACGCGCGTTCAGCCAAGTCACGCAACGTCGCCAAAATAATTGTCCCAGTGACAGTCCTGTTTGCAGTTCTTGTAATAGCAATCTTAGTCGCAGCTGTTTTTATTAGAAAGTAAGGATTTAAAAAGAATGCCACACACCAAACCACACTGACAACATTAGGATATAGTAGACAACACTACGCCCCACTAAAGAAACTCTACAACACCACACTGCACTGCACCACAGAACACTACATTACACCACAGCACAGCACACAACACTATAATACGATATAGCACACTTCACTACGCCCCACTTAACAAACTCTACACTGAACCACACCACTCCACACTACTTTACACTACTTTACATACTACACCACATGCAACTTGTGCATCGCGCACACAATACTACACATTACACTACTCTACACTACACTGAAATACACTAAAACACTGCGCTACACTACACTACACTACACCACACCACACCACACCACACCACACCATACCACACCACACTACACTACACTACACTACACTACACGTTGCGAACACACCACACCGCATTATATTTCAAAGTAAAAATTTCGGTAGTCATTGCAATTTTACATTGCAATTCTTTTTTAGGAAACGGATGGGGAGATCAGCGAGAAGTGTTCAGTACAGCCATATWATGAATGATGACGTTAGTAGCGAAGATGAACAGTTACTTGATCCTTCTGGCAGCGCAACCCTGTCCTTGGACACATAATTCACAGAGCACATTCCATGTAGTATATAGCACTAGATGTAGATAGAATTTTAGTCATACTATAAAATAACAAATCAATTTTTATAAATATAAATAGTTTGTATTTTCTAGGCGGGCATCACGCGATATTGTTAATTCTTCATACTGAAATTTGTAAAAATAAATTGCTTTTCTGACAGTGGACTCGATATTACTAATATAGATTCTACCTTTACTCCTAGAGTAAATCTACTAAGTTTGTTCATGCTTTTGCTTAAAAGTGTAAAACTGACTACATTTTTCTTCTATATTTATTTGCTTATAAAATTCAATGCAACGCATGTGACAATCCACTACTTATTATTCATCACATGACTACACGAAACACCAAAATGAATAATTACATCATGAATTAAGCTCGCTGTCAGATTCAGATGCTGAACAACATCGCAGATGTATTTACACATGCGATTTGAGCGTTCTTCCTCATAAACTGTACTGTACACAAAGCTATGGATACAATCCGCCGATAAATTCTGTTGTGAAGATTTTGCACATACAACAAACAAATTGGTCGTTTGGATCGTTGTGCTATACTAACAGTTTTTACAAATATTTAAGCTTACAAGGTGAGGATCCTTAAAGGTTAGCTATATAAAGTGAAGTTTCAAATTATTCTGACCTCATGTTGGTATAATGATTGTATTTTGAACTGAAATAATTTGAGGTTAGCTGGAAATATCCAAATTCTGKTTATTCTAATTTATGAGAGTAGAATAATTATGTCCGTCTTGCAAAGCTGAGGTCACGAGAGGCTTATTTCTTTGGCCTGGAAGCTATAGCGATCTTTTAGGTCTAAAAATGTTATTTTCCCTTTATCTCGAAACTTAAATGACAATTAAACATTTATAACTCCATTTTAAGAACATATGTGACTACTTCATAGAATGTTGAGCGAGATTTTTGAGTCGATACGATCGAGGAAATGCATAAAACGTAGTCAAGTGGAAAACAGTTCTGTGCCTAACTTCAATTCTGAATATATTAAAATGCCCTTTATTAAACATATCGCGAAATAACACGAGAATATTGTCGTGCAAAAGTAATAAACAGGTATGTGTGGTTTTTCAGCAGTGTATGGCAATGATTTTTAGCTGTGAAAACTTTTCTTGATGTCGAGTAAATAAACACTTCTTTCATTTTTGTTTCAGACATTGTTACGTCATGATTTGYGAACAAATGCTCGCGTTGGCTACGACTGGCGCGATYCTGTTGTTTATTCAAAGTGGGCAAGCATGTAAGTTTGTTTATTATAATAATATCACATCGTTTGTATCTCTAATTCTATCCACAACATTAATATTCGAATGAATACACTGTATTTGTTCTTACACAGTAAAACAGTACAAAAAGGTGTTAATAATCCCTTGTATATTGTGAAATCACATCTTAAAAATATACCATCAATTGATAGTGAAACTAAATTTTTTCTAAATTTTTCACTAAAACATTATTATCACAATACTGAATACTAATGCAAATCTGTAGTCAGTTTTTTTTGCAATTTTTTTGGATTATTTTATACAATCGAATCTCTTCCAAAGCAGTTAAAAAACAGTTTCGTAATTTAGCCTAAAAGTGTTTGAGAGTGTGGAGAAGGGGGACCTGGCAGGAAGAATAATTAACAAATRAATAAGGCTCAGCCGTGGTTTATACTCTCATAAACCACACTTTTTTGGCCAATCAGATCACGCGTTAGAAATCATCTATAATAAATAATAATAATTAAGTTATGGATAATGTAATTCGGGTATACTTGATCCAGATTCAGACAGTGACGTTCCACCGGTACTTATAATTACTGACTCAATTCAAGACAAATTGGTAAAATGTAGACACTATCCATGATATGTAAAACAATTAGTTTCCATTAAAAGGATGTCAATATATTATTGCCTTGCGGGGCTATAGATCCCAACTTGGGTGGGGGTGTGCCGCACAACTCTCAAAAACCTTACCCTATCCCAAACCAATTTTTGTTATTTTACAATACCCTACCCCAAACTAAACTGTACACCTTATCCCAGACTAAATCTAAAAATTGTTATTACAGACTAAATCAAAAAGTCAGTTTTTAAATGTGCTTAAATACATTTATCAAGTCCAAAACTACTAYCCTGTCCCWGACAAAATGACTACCCTATTCCAGACAAATGGGCAAAAAATGATACCTTATCCCAGACTTGAAGYTCCGAAAAATGGATCCTATCGAGCGGCACATACCCGTATAGCAAACACCAGGAAGGAATCAATATAAATATAGTTATAGTGTCCATTGGATGACAGAAAATAATTCAGTACAATTTAGCACTATCAATTACAAAAGTTTTTCATGGTTTTAGTGTTTGCACTCTGCTAAGCTATTTTATAACTTTCACAGACTATTTCCCTTTTTCTGGTCAAGTGCGACTTGCTGGTTCATCGAATGGCTCATACCAAGGAMGAGTAGAAATCTTCCATAATAAGTCGTGGGGCACAGTTTGTGATGATAATTGGGACATGAATGAGGGCAACGTCGTTTGTAAGCAATTGGGTTTTACTGGTGCCATTGCAGTGTATTCACAGGCATCATTTGGTAAAGGCACTGGAAAAATATGGATGGATGATATATATTGCAATGGCAATGAAAGCAGGCTTGAAGACTGTCGACATAATGGATGGGGTGTAAGCAACTGTGATCACTCTGAAGATGCCGGTGTTGCATGTAACAATGTAACAATTCAGCGTAGTAAGTACAATGATGCAATGAAATAAACTTTTATCTAGTTCAGAGTAAATAAAGGTTAATTGCTTGTTAAAGAATGGAAACGGAGGGGAGGGGAGGAGGGATTTTAGGGATTTTTTTTTAGGAGGGATTTTAGGGATTTTTTTTTAGGGATTTTAGGGATTTTTTTCTTAAAAGAAAGTTCCTTGCCCTGTCCCACCAATGTGGCCATTAAAGATGGTCCACAAGCTTTCAATACTTTGAATATCCATTTGCAGTCCGTTTCCATCCATCGGTTTAAAGTTCGGATCTTGAATTATCTCCATTCATTTAGTGTAAAGAGATAATAAACTCAGTGATAGTCAAGAGTGTGTCAATAAGAAGATATAAACCGAAAAAGCTGTGGGTAATTTCTTAATGTGTTTGTTTTTTTATCACATTTATATTCGAAATGTTAGCGAAAAATATTTAATTTTAAATGAGTACGTTGGTAATGATGTCAGCATGGATTGTATATCGTCTTATTGACACACTCTAATCAGCCAATCAGCACGCGAGGATATATATTCACACAAGTGTGATAAAATCTTTACTTTTATGCTATGCTTTGTAATGGACACATTCCCTAGCTCCATCTCTTCGTTTGCCGTTAGTAGTAAACATTATTGAATAAATGGATTTCTGTGTTTTAGATAACATTCTAATTCACTCTCAATTTGTCGGAAATTTGTTGCGTAATGTCATTGACAAGGTTTGAACGGAAAGCTTCTAAAAGCTCCAACAGAGCGCGCGCAATAGTTCTGACCAATCAGAGCGTGCGCAATAGTTCTGACCAATCAGAGCGCGCAATAGTTCTGACCAATCAGAGCACTCGCAATAGTTCTGACCAATCAGAGCGCGCGCAATAGTTCTGACCAATCAGAGCTTTGAATATTTCTTGTTTGTTCCAGTCGTTCCCAATGGAAATCATCGCCATTGATAATTATCAATAAATATTAAATGTCATCGATCATTCATGACTTTTTCTAACATGATAGAGGGAAGCTGTTCCTTTGAAACTGGATCTAATCTTTGTGGGTACAAAAATCTCCGAAGTGACGACCTTGACTGGAGTGTTGGTACGGCTAGTTACTGGTGGTATAGCAGCCTTCCGCAACATGACCACACCACTGGAAACGGTACGTTTTTTAATCACTGGATTTGTTTATATCAAAATTAGTGTATGGAGGGGTACGTACCGTCCAAAAATTTTGAAATTTTTCAAAATTTGATGTTGATTTATCATTACTGTTTTGTTTGTTTGTTTTTGATAAAATCATATACCCTTTTAAATTTTGAATGGATTTTATTCGCTGAGTAAGGATTTATCCGGTGAATAGCTTCGTGCATGTGACCGGGCCCTTGTATTAAAAAAATTATGTGGCCGAAAATTCGAAATCGAATTATTCTACGCCATTTTTGTTGAAACGTTTTATTCAAACAAAATTTTTATTCTTCAAATGTTAATTAATAATCCATAGTTTAGATCTCACTGGAAAAAATCGCGCGCTTTAAAGGTTGTACAGTAAATGTGATGTAAATATTATGTAAGTGTCCAAAATGATGTAAATTTGATGTAAATTTACATCAAATTTAAGCATCAAATTTACATCATTTTGGACACTTACATGACATTTACATCAAATTTACAACCTTTTAAAGTGAACGATTTTTTCCAGTGCTACGATATTAGTATTATCTTCTACCTTGGTCAAACGTTACTGGAATTTCACACATATCTAATTCAATTCAAGCAGAGTTAGTAGAGGGAGAATTAGGATAGAAACAAAGAATTTGAGTAATTTGAATTGGATTTGGTTTATATRACGATTCTACTTTAGGCCCAGGCCAATTATATTTCTCGTATTTCTAGGCCATTATATTTACGTACGAAGCAGCTACTATTCTTCTGGAAAAAAGGCACAACTCATGAGTCCTGTGCTGAACGGTGTCCAGTGTCTCCATTTCTTCTACTTCATGAAGGGCTCTCRAGTTGGTCAGTTAAATGTGTACGTAAAAACCGTTTCCAACAGAACGTTGTTATGGCAAAACGTTGGCCCACAATCTGCTGTTTGGATTAAAGCGATAGTTCCCATCAAATGGGCATCTACTGGTTCATTCACGGTATGGAAGCATGGGTATAAGGGTATAGTTAGGGGTGCTTTTGTTTGAAGTCAACCGCTCAGCGATGCAGTGGAATACAGTAAAAAGCCGCGTATAAGAACAAGTGGATTAAAAACACCCATTTAGGAAATAAAATACCATTTATATAAGAACACATTCAGCCTGAAAAATGAAAGTTGTTCTTAGTATGGACTTAAAATATCAAAGATCAACWCTACTTTTCATTGCACACATAATAGTTGCACCCCAATTATATGTAACAACATAAAAATATGTACTGTTATGTACTATTATATTTCATCTATTGGTAGCCTATTATGTTCCTTATTTTTAGAAACTTTTTTTAAGAACACTTAAGAACACTTACAGGCTGATTTTGCAGATTATAACCCTTTATGTAAGAACCAAATCAGCATGAGCCGCCAAAAATAGGTGTTACGCGGGTTTTTACTGTACTAGYAGTATATTTGAAGTTTCTCCGCGGGTGTCAGCGTGCAAATCTGCTCCAATTATTTCTAGGTAGCGTACATAGATTTTCATCCCTAGTCGTAGACGATCTATATGGAACGTACGTTTGCAACTCCTTGATTTTTAAGATCAGTGATCTCGGTCTCAAATCAACAAATCTGATCCCTGATCCCAAATACATGACGATCTCTGATCTCCAAAACAATGTTAATGACGATCCCGTACCTTCCAACTACACAGGATGAAAATGGTSTACCTTTTTAATCCATTCATTACAATGTGATATTGCCATGTCCTATTTCATAGATCATATTCGAAGCTGTCATTGGAGGTTCTTATGCTGCAGACGTAGCTTTAGATGACATTGAAGTCTTCGACAAACCATGTGTTTACAATYATACCGGAAATTGCACCTTTGAATCAGGACACAAGTGTGGTTACACCCAACCATCTGATAACACGGTCAAGTGGGTCTTGCATCATGGACGAATTGACTGGCGATCATTTGGACCGAGRAAGGATCACTTAGGACGTGGTATGTACAGACCGCAAAACCATGAAATCAATAATGACATYCTCTCATAAAAAMMCGTTCGATRATCTAGTTTCAGGGTATTTTGTTTACCTCAAAACTACCTATAGAACTACAAGAGGTCAAAAATCCCAATTTATTAGCCCTGAAATCTACGGTGGACGCTGTGTGCAGTTTTTCTACTACATGGGTGGTTCGGCACCAGGAGAGCTGAATGTGTACATTGATGACGGGGTGAAAAGAAACCATATYTGGGAGCTTATTGGTCGACAATCCAACAAGTGGCTGAAGGGAGAGGTGCCGATAGGAAAAGTCACGGGGGCTTTTAAGGTWAATTTTTGGAAGATAATAAACACAATTACAAAGTCATTTTCATAGAGAAAAAGAGCGTTAATCTTTAAGCAAAAAAGTAATTTATTAAAAAAAGAAGAAAGGCAAGATCATAGCTCAGACTRAACGCTGTCATTCTAAGCGTATTGTTTCATATTTAATTACAAATGCTCTCTTACTCTATGACAACGATTTTGCATTACGTTGTCTGTATGAATATAATTGTACTTATGATAAAATGGTTGTTACATTAACTCAAAAAGTAAAGACCTTCAAGTAGAGTAGATCGTATAATTTCTCTGGTTTCTTTAGCAAGTGGATATCGTTCATCAATGCTTAAATAGACCCCTTGTAGTTCGTGGGAATACAAATTCCACTGGAGGACAAACCAATGGATCTTAGTTCCCAAGAGGGCAAAAAATATTTTGTTTTTTCCTTCAAATGAAGCTGCTTTGACGTGGCATGCAAGGGGCCTATACCCAGAATGCGGTTTGGCGTTGCTATAAATATTTCCACCCAAATTCAAACCACCCGGGAGTACGTTTCATTGTTCGCTGTATTTTCATTTCACAGTTGAAGGTTGAAAGTTGTTTTTTCCACAGGATTTGAATTGGGTGGTAACGTACACGACAGCGCGTTTTAGCCGATTAGGTCCATTATCTCAACTTCTTGTCAATTCTTTATAGAAGTCATATTCCATTCATAAATATTAATGGATTTACTATGGCTTGGTTTGGATTTCCAGGTTGTGTTTGAGGCACTTGCAGGCAGTAATTACAATGGAAGGATTGCCCTTGATGATATCTTGATTCTTAGCAAAAACTGTAAGGTGTTCCCCTCGTCAGCGTCAGTTACACCTATCGACATTCGTAATATCAGCAAAGGTACGTCTTGAACSCCTTCCTTGCACCAGATCAACATTCACTGACAAATATTATTTTGGGACAAAGGTATTTCAGTGCGGATCGAAAAGCCGTGTGACAATYTAGAAACATGTCAGTCGGGAATGTTTATTGTTCATTGACCAATCAGAAGCGAATTATAAAAAAAAGTGCATTTTCACGTCCAAATTTGATAAAAACGTCAAAGTCGCAAAGAAATAGAACTAGTCTCTTACCAAAAAWAAGCCCGTAAAAGCTCATAAACAGTACACTTTCGTTGTTTGGGATAAACAAAAAGTCTGTTCATTGTATGTTTTTTTATCATCTTTCTTGTTTGTCAGCTGAAGTTGCTTTTCAAGACTTTGTCTATATTTCTAGGCGTTCACGGCTTTTCGGTTCGAACTACTGTAACATGGATGGCATATTTTGCACTCACTTACTACCCACGGGATTGCCATCCCTTTCCCGCTACTRGTCAACGATGGATACTTTCATGACATATGAAGCTCAATATTAATTGCTTGGAGGAGACTGAACGAGAAGACTAGTGTTGAATGAAAGAAAATAAAATTMCGATGTAAAAAAATGATTTTTTTGCCTAAGTAATGGCTAATTGTCATAAAATTCATAAAATTACGTTTTTCGGTGTCGGATCCATATCCTAGTACTTTAAGGAGTAGTGAAACTTCATTATTCCGCCATTTTGATCGATTCTGTGAAGTGCACTTCCCCTTAGGTTGACCTACACCTCTAACTGAAAAAAAATTGTTTGGGTTCGTCCTTGCTTTTACCCATGGAAGGCACACAAATAATTGTAATGTATTTCCATCTTTCAGAGGTTCGTCTTGTTGGTAGCAACTCTACCTCAGCTGGCCGAATTGAAGTTTTCCACAATGGTAAATGGGGTACGATATGTGGATCGAATTTTCCTTTGACCTCTGGAARGGTAGTCTGCAGACAACTCGGGTTTTCCGACGCGGTGATGGTAGTGCCATGTTGCTCTGTTTTTGGTTCAGGAAATGGACGGATTCTACTGCAAGATGTGCAGTGTAGAGGCGAAGAGAGTGATATTAAAATGTGTTCTCACAGGCAATGGGGGATGACAACATGTTATCATTCACAAGATGTTGGTGTCATCTGCAAGACCAACCACACTTCGATGGATGGTAGGATGTTCAATAATCCACGAATTTTTAGTCGTATATTTTAAGCTAAAAGTTGCTAACAGATGATTTGCTTTACGATATTAATATCTGAACTGAAGATTTTGRATATTGAGAAATTCTTATTTATCTTCAAAAAATTCACAAGTCTGTGCAATTCGGAAAGCCTCTTAATTCCTGATGAAGGTCCCTAAAAATTAACACATCATAGCCATGCGATAACATAAGTCCAAGACGGGGAGGGGGGGGGGATTGACGTGTAAATGAAAGGAATTGACCCATATAACGGGCGGTAAAGGTGTTAGCTTCCCCGGTTTTCCTGGGGACGGGACAATGACGGGACGTATAAAAATCCTAAAAAGCCTAGTCGATTTGTTTTTTCCATATATAGTACTCCAAGTATATGATTTTTAACACTGCTTTCATGCTCTTTATAGTCCGGCTAAATGGCACTTCGCAAAATTACAAGGGCTTAGCTGAGGTTAATATCGGTGGCGTCTGGGGAACTATCAGTGATTCAGGCTGGGATATCTATGACGCCGATGTCTTCTGCCGYCAAGCGGGCTTCGCAGGGGCCTCTGAGGCGCTAAGCYWCAAGGGAATCCGTGKTCCAGAATGGATAAGCAACACATACTGCAATGGAGACGAGACTTCSTTTTGGAATTGTAATTATACCATCAATCTACAGAGTCATCAGTCTTGGTGGTGGTATAGACGACTAGCTGGAGCTAAGTGTTACGGTGAGTTTGACTATAAGACCTAAAAAAAGWATTTAACACTTATTTACTGGAACCGAGGGAAACATGTTTTTTGGTCGTTAGTCTAATGTACAACGGCATGGAAGGATGCCATTATCATTCCTTCGTAGATCATACCTGTTGTTGTTTAGGATTTCAACCAATGCTAACTAGATAGTCATTTTGATTGCACGCTCAAATGAAGACCACTTTAGCAGAACTTCTCCAAGTAAACAGCCTAAATGCGTAAAATTACCAGAGTTTCATTAAGTTATTCGATTGATGATTCCTCTTCACTTCACTTTTTAACAGATCTTAAACTATCTGGTGGAAAGAMCGAGAATGAAGGAATAGTTCTCATACGATGGGAAGGTAATAACATTAAATTCAAATAGAAATCAATTGTCAACAATTCTCGCGCTGTTTTAAGTTTTACGTCCTCTTAAAATGTTCAAAATTCAAGTGAAGTGCAAAGTTTGAACATTTTATGACGCCAAGGATGTCAATTAGAGCTAGGATATCAAGCGAAAACAGCGTCTGCAAGTGTTTTTTTACCGCATTTTTAGTCAAAACGATTTCTAGCGATAATCATTCGTTACTTTCAGCTGAGCCCGCGAGCGAGACGTGATGGTGTCAGCACAGTGTGTCCGTCCTCTTAACATGATATTGACACACTCTAATCGGCGAATCAGCGCGCTAGAATTCACACAAGTGTGATTTTTCATATAACACATATCTTTCAGCAATTTTGCCTAGATTGCTACTGTAATTTTTTTTTATTTTTTATTATTTATTTTTTTTTTTGAAGCGCGATTGTCTATCGCGATTGCTGCGGCGATCGAAAATCGCCGTGAAGTTGCAGCTAAATTTCAATAATGCTCGAAACTCAGGCGATGATCGCGCGACAATCGCGCGCGCTTCAAAAATCGCAAGTGCAAACGGTCCTTTAGACTATACTAAACTAAGTCAATTGTTACGATTGTGCTAACGTTGTTATTACATAGGGACATGGGGCACTATCTGCAACAAAGGCTGGGATATCAAAGATGCTCATGTGGCGTGTAGAAACCTAGGTTACTCCAAAGCCAAGTCAATTAAAGTCAGTTACARGGTCAACGCTCCAAAGAAAACAACATCGCTGTTGTCACAATTYGAATGCCAAGGTGACGAGGCATCCCTTGCGACTTGTTCAAGGAGGAGTTTGGCTTCTGTTTCTCATACATGTACTCACGACAATGATGCCATAGTAGTTTGTGATAGTCAGCCACTTAGTAAGTTGTGATTCCTGTACACCAAGCTTTAACGTCATAGACTATATAGGCAATGCATTGTAGGATATGTTTGGGACAAAACATGGTGGTTTTCTTTTGATTTCTCCAGAAACTGATCCCACAATGCATTGCAAATAACGTGTTTGACGTAAAAACTTCAGCATTCAGAGGTCTAAAGAGAAATRGAGGACCAATGACATCCTTTCAATATTCTGCTTGAATAGTCATGCGCAAAAAAAAAATATTATTCAAATATTGTTCAACCAAAATATTGAAAGTATGCTATTTAGATAACAATTCTATTGTTGAAAAACTATTTCTCGCTTCTCTGTATTCTTTGATATTGAATATCATACTTGTTTACTTGTTAATTCGACAAAAGTGACTTAATTGTTATTATTTCTTTTTTCCAAACCTTTGTTTTTCCTGATTGCTTTGTTGCGAGTGACCAAATAACTACTTTTCAGCTCCTTCGCCTTCAACGTCACCAACAACTCCAAGAAAACGTCCAGGTTGGTAATTGGATAAACTCTTTATTCTTGAAGTGCGAGACCGCTGTCTTAGTTAACAACAGTCTCTCATACGCAAAGACCTTGCCAAAAACAAAAGAAAGTACTTATGTTGAAGTCTTAATCTATTTGTGTTACACGCTATTTTTGCCTTCGTCACGGTCGTTACTCGGCTGTTTTTTAAATATTATTGTATCTCTAAGAAAACTAACAGTAATGRCACTGGTGAAAAACGTACTGCGCATGTCCACAGCTTTCCCGCTGAAATCTGCCTAATTTTCTTTTTAAAGCGATTTTTGTGGAAGTTTTTTTTTACAATTTATAAGCTCGTTCACCGATATATATGATTCATATTTCCATCAATCATTGTTCATGATAGGTTATTTTCGTATGTAGTTTCTACTTTTATCTTGTTATTTCTACTTTAAGAAAATGAGTTTTTTCGTAGTGTTTCTGTGTTGTCGCTCGTTGTAAATCGCCAGGCGCTCTGTATACAGATTTCAAGACGCGCACGCTTACTGGCGGGAAAGCTGTGGGCATGTGCAATGCGTTTTTCACTAGTGTCAACAGTAATTGGGTAACTGCGTTMTTTTGTCGCTATACGTTTCTTGGTATTGATTTGTAAATGCTAAGCTAGTCAAATCTCATTTYTATTTTCTCTTTCTTTCTGCTAAACACAATATAATTCCTCTAAATCTAATTGTTACCGTAGCATCAACACCTAAAACATCGCCGACTTCAACAACTAAACCAGGTATACAGCTATTTCAAAAAACGTTGTCGGGGAGAACGGCAAATGTCGATTGTCGAAGGGATATTGCTCGACCGAAAAGGACTATGGTTACACTGTTTTAATAAACAAAATTTCATTTATTGGATTCACCTTACATAGAAATGGAGACTAAATGGAGCCAATGTTTAYCACAGACCATCTTACAGTATAAATCAGTCGTTATTTTATTTCACGGAGCGAAACCCATGACTACTTTCGGTCGTGCAATCGCCGTTCTACAATTGMCATTCGCCATTTTATCCGACAACCTTTTTTGAAATAGCTATATAAATTAATATAAAATAGTTGAGCACTAGTCACGTTGTCTGTTAGTTTACAGAGTAACTATCAAATAAGTCAAAAATTTCACCCTCTGGCTTTGAACTTACTCTGAATTGACTTGATTTGCTTGCTTACTTGACTACTGACCTGCTTGCTTGATTTCTTGCTTGCTAGCTTTAGCTCAGTGACTTAGTGATTATTGAATGGATTGATTGATCGAGTGATTGATTGATAGGGTGATTGATTGATTGATTGATTGATTGACTGGTGTAATTTGTTGTAATTTCAGTGGTCTGTAATCGATCGATCGATTGATTGATTCATTGATCGATTGATTGACTGGTGTACTCTGTTGTAATTTCAGTGGTCTGTAATCGATAGATCGATTGATTGATTCATTGATTGATTCATTGATTCAATGACTGGTGTCATTTGTTGTACTTTCAGTGGTCGGTAATCGATCGATCTATTGATTGATTGATTGATTGATTGATTGATTGATTGACTGGTGTCATTTGTTGTAATTTCAGTGGTCTGTAATCGATCGATCGATTGATTCATTGATTCATTGATTGTTTGATTGACTGGTGTCATTTGTTGTAATTTCAGTGGTCTAATCGATCGATCTATTGATTGATTCATTGATTGATCGACAGGTGTAATTTGTTGCAATTTCAGTGGTCTGTAATCGATTGATTGATTGATTGATTGATTGACAGGTGTAATTTGTTGCAATTTCAGTGGTCTGTAATCGATTGATTGATTGATTGATTGATTGACAGGTGTAATTTGTTGCAATTTCAGTGGTCTGTAATCGATTGATTGATT